AACGTGACCTTCGAACTCCGACATTGGTTTCGAGCTTTGGCAACAGATATATCAGACATGCACAGCTGTTTTCCCTCTATGATGGAACGGAGCCACAGCCACGTCTGTTGCAGAGAGGTTTTCCTTCTTTACAATACATATTCTTTGATTCTAACCTCCATGGTACCGTATACTAGGATTAAACCCATTTTGTTTTATACGAGAACAGGTACTTTCTTTAATTCATGCACTGCACATGCGATTCTCGAGAATATTGGAAACCAAAAGTTGCGGGAAAGTTGCTTTGCCTTTCTAAAAGATGATCAAATTGGAGCTGCAAAAATTGGCTCTATGCCAGCTACCAGAATGACATTCACGTGATACATAATTCGCCAAAAAAAGTTACCTCTTTCGACGTCGGCGCAAAAATCGCTTTTTTTGGCGGGATCGTTGTATGAACTTCCCTGACTTTTCCAGATTTTGACACAAATACTTAAATTCCCTGACTTTTCCGTGAATATTTTAGTCAATTTTCGAATTCCCTGACTTTTCCCGGTTCTCCCGGTTTTCCAGGTAGCGTGGCAACCCTGCAAACAACATGTAGGAAATCATTCTTACAGTTATCGATATGGTTACCTGAAGAATTGTTATGCGCAAGGTTGCCATTGTTTGGCGACTTTTACTAAGGAGGTTGCGATAATACTAAAGCACTCTTTATACAATTATGTTTCTGTTCATATTAAAGAACAGTTTTCATTCTCAGTACGTACATACCACATTCCACAAACTGCTTTAAATTCACCAACATCATTATTTTCAATCTTCCCATGGACAAATTTAAAGTTTAATTAGCCACCCAACTGGAACAGTGGTTAGTAACGCTGACTGTTGTACAAAAGGGCCTGATTCAAATCCCTGAGAAGGCATGAATGCTGTAAATGTACAGAGTCCTTGTGGCATGGGGGCACTCTAAATATGGGGTGAGCTGAAAGTCCTCTCGGGAGGTTGGTGGTAGGGAAAGAGGGGTATCAGACCCTCGGACCTGGCCTCCGGAATATTTATATTGTCCATCAAAATTGGGGGTAGAACTAAGCAAAGTCATACAGTCACCTGTATGGTGCTCAAGGCTCTTGCCAATGACAGGTGCAATCTTGCCTTCCTTGCCCCGAGGAATTTCATGGGCTTGTTCTGATATTACTGTTAGACAAGTCACAACAACAACAAAGTTTAATTAATATGTCTTTTTGATTATGATTTCATAAAAGACAATTTCCTCTTTGGATAAACCGCTAATTTTTTGGCCTTTTTCCATGAACACATTAAAACTGCATGACATTTTATAAAAAATTTTATTACAGTTTACAGCCTACTAATTTTGAAACATAATTTTGAAATTATTTGCTTTTCAACATATATCATTCAATACAGAAACAAACACAACTTTTAAAATTACAATTTGATGCAATTTAATCATATGAATCTAATGTTAGGATGTATCAGAAATCTTTTGTCCTGTCCAGATCATCTAATATATTAGCACATACATTGCGGCAATAGCGTGCCTTTCTCCTACTCTTTGTAAATTTTGTGAAAACATCATAATATGCACTAGGATGCACCTGAACAGTTAATAAATAAGGTGCTAGACATGCTACAATAATATAGAAAAATATCTTGAATAGAGGGATGAGTTATCTCATCGCTAGCGCTCAGTGAATATTATTGGAAGACAAGATATATTATACATAATGATGAACATGTTAAATACGGTACTTAACGTATTAACTCCCCGGCTGTATTATCTTGTCATTGTAGTATCCCATCACCTGCAATGTATAATCTTGTCACCAGCAGCATGATTTAGCACTAATTATGAATAAGCATGACATAATAACACATTTATAATATTTGTGCTTTAGTTTGATATAACTCTGACTGATTCTTGATATGCCCTTTTTGTTTTTATGAACTAGATTATAAATTAACCGTTATTCTTGTACTTTTTCCTTATGTTTTGAAAACAAAAATGATTTAAATTTGAAATATGCCTTCTGCAAAACAGCAAGCAATGGATTATTTTTAAAGTTATGGGACTTTACAATCATAAAAATGTATATTATGAACATAATATGGTCAGCTGAATACGGCCGACAAAACAGTTTACCTGCTGACAGTACTTACCTGCTGGAAGTTTGTACTCATAATGCTCTAAACACAAGCTATCGGTAAAATCACAGAGCTAACAAAATAATACAGATAGATGAAAGTTTTCCATGAAGCACATAAATTAAGCAAATAGAAAACTGATTTTTAACAAATTCACGACAGGTACTGGTGCAACTTTGGTAGTATCTCCGCCAGCTTTCATGGTTTCATGACAGCCAACTTTTCCAATCAAAGGGATAATACGTAAGTACCATAACCCTCTGGCTGATCATTATGCGATTTCCACAAGCAACTCAAATGTAGCAAAATTTGCTCATCCCGCGATTTCCGCGGGCGTATGTTTTCTTCCTTTATTGAGAAGTGGATCCCGTTTTTTCCCCGTTTAACCATTGAAATAAATTATATACAGTATTAGGCGTTTAGTTTACGTTTTGGCCAACAGATATCGTTAGTTGTCCACTAAATTGTGGCATTTGAATGCATGTGGTATTAGCGTTAAAACTTCACTTTTTGCCGCATTTTTCTTACAGAAATGGCTGCTAGAAAATGCTCAGCGATTATCTTGATTATTTAATGAAATTATTGAATTATTAATTAGATTAATTATTAATTAGATTTATTGAATCTGGTGCAAAAAATGTGAGGTTGGACTTTGCCTTGAACCCTGTTTTAATTTCTATCATACTAAACTGCATTTCTAAGGTATTTTTCCCTCAGCACTTTATATTTTCTTAAATTTTATACATTTTACTTTTTTTATATTATGCAATAAATAGAAATTAACTAAAATTCAACTGAAATTTATTTTTAAAAAAAGATTTTTTTTTTTTTTTTTTTTTTTTTTTTTTTTTTGTGATAACATCTGAAATTGGTTTTTCTGGCAACTTAGTTTCTCATGATAAAAATCTATATAAAAAATATTTTGTAGAAAGAAAAAGTGATTTTTCAATTCTCCAATATATATAGATTTAAAATATGCAAAAAAAAAAAAAAAAAAAAAAAAAAAAAAAATTACATAATTTTGGAAGCGATTTCAGTCTACAAATTGAGTAGTCAGAGGGTTAAATATTATCCAGATAATAAGTTAGCAGTTTACGAAGTTTATATATGAAAAATTCTTTTTAATGAATTAATTAATTTTGCATTTTTAAACTATACTTTTGTAACATCTACAACATTTTCAGTCTTAAATTCAATTACCTGAGTGCTTTTGTTATGAATAGATATTTCCTACTTCATATTATAAATTAAACAGTAAAAATATTTTGCTTACCATAAGAAAAGAACATTTGTCAATAAGAACAACAGCAAAAATTGCTGATAATGCAAAGTAATCTGTCTTTTAAAAATAACTGGATTTAAAGATACTTTAAAGATAACTAGATAAGATTTAAAATTCCATCTGTGAAAATGATTTTAAAAAAATTTCTTCAAAGGAAAACTTGGTTTTTTCAACGAACTTTCTGAATAGATTCCTATTTTGCTACATGAATGTAATTTGCCTTATTTGTTTTGGTTTCTTTCTTCTTCTAAATGACATTTGCTTTTTCTTTCTTCAAAACATACTTGTGCAAGTTTCTTCTAAAATGGCATGATTGCTTGCCTATGAATAGTGATGGGCAACTTCGGTACTTTCTTGTACCCGGTACTAGAGTAACGGGTACAGACAAGTACCCGGTACAAAATACTCGTTACTCAAGTAACCGTTACTACAGAGTACCCAAAACCAAAAAGTACCGAAAACCGATTTCAACTACCGAGTACCCAAGTAACGATTTGGAGTACCGAAGTAACGAAATACCGGACTAACGGTTTGCTGTACCGGAGTACCCTAGTAACGGTTTGCTGTACCGGAATACCCTAGTAACGGTTTGCTGTACCGGAGTACCCTAGTAACGGTTTGCTGTACCGGAGTACCCTAGTAACGATTTGGAGTACCGAAGTGCCCTAGTAACGATTTGGAGTACTGAAATACGCAGGTAACGATTTTGCGCACTGAAGGAACTCTGCCACGTCACCACGTGTTTGGTTTTAGCTGTACGGAGTAGATTTTGAATATCAGAAAACATGTCAACTACGGAAGTGTCTGAGGAGCAGGCCATTCATGGACACAAGGAGCGCATATCACCATTTCGCAAATACAACCAGATACTACTGTCCTCGTACCAAAACCGAAGTGAGCTGAACCCTCATCGATCCTCCAGTAACGAATACCGAAATACCGAGAAGAGATGCATATTTTCGTTACAAAGTAGCGAATACCAAAAAGCACCCGTTTAAGTACAGAAGTAACGAATACCGAAAAGTACCCGTTTCGGTACAGAAGTAACGAATACCGAAAAGTACCCGTTTTGGTACAGAAGCAACAAATACCGAAAAGTACCGATTTCGGTACTGAAGTAACGGGTACTTGAATGTACCGATTTTCAGTACCCATTACAACTAAGTACCTGTTACAAAATACCCGGTTCGGTAGTACCGACTCATCACTACCTATGAAACCAGATCTAGCAATGCTTTTAATAAAATTTAATAAATTATTTTAGTTCACAAATAATTCTACTTACATGCTTATCAGCACACACCTTTTCCCTTGAAAAAAATCAACTACAATAACTATGAAGACAGTCACCATACATTTAAGCACATTTTATGTAAAATTTAACACGTTACCTAACTGTTCAAGGTAATGAAAGTTTTTCATAAACTGAGATATGTCTGCACATATTTTTTACTATGTAATAATTTAAAACTAAATGAAAAGCCCAAAAAGATACAAAAATAAACACAGATGCAAAATATATCACAAACAATACTATTAAAGCATACAAATATATGTTTTCGCATTTAGCTACCTATATTCTTGCAGCATTCTTTTAGTTTCCATCAGTTCTTTTTTCAACCTTTCACATTCCTGAACAGCCATCATATGCTTCAACCTTTCTTGAGCTGCATTCATTTCAGCTTTTCTTCGTAATTCACTTTCTTTCATCAGATCGTGCAGAGCCTTGTCACGTTCAGATGAATCCATAACCTATATAATACTACAATTTAATCTAGATATTTTTCATACAATATGCTATAAACTATTTACTTGCCATACTTGAATTAATTTAAAAAAAAAAAAAAAGCAGCTAATGAGTTTGTCACCACAAAATAAGTCTAACACAAATATATAGGATATTTCCCTATGCTATATATCAGCGTTTCCCAAAGTGTGGGTCACAGAAAAATTCAGCTGGGTCATGACAAAAATTGTAAAAACACAAAAAAATCTATAACATTTTGCTCTAAATTTAATATTTTTTGAAACTTTTTTAATTACTGCAGGTGGCAACCCTTTAGCAACATTTCCTACCGGACCGTTTAAATTTGGATGCTCTGATTGGCTGATTTCGATTTGTCATTCAGTACCTTCCCCGGTACATGCGCCGTAAACTCACGTGTATCAAAACAAGGTTATGTTTGAATTTTTGTTACCTATTTTATTTGACAATAGTTATTATTACCTATTATTAATAGCAACCTCATATTGGTAAGTAATAAAAATACTTTTTCTTATAAATCATTAATAAGCAAATTCTTTTTATTAAAGCTTTCAACCTTTTTTAAATTCGATAAATGGTTAATCAAGAAAACCACAGATTTAAATGATGATGAACAACCAAGCAGCACGAGCAAAGCTGAACATCATGATCATGAAGAAATTGTGCCTGAAGCACCTGAAGCAGATATACAGCACTAAAATAACAAGCGTAAAGCTACTTGGACTCGCAACTATTGTGACGAATATTTACGCTTTGGGTTCATTGCTGGTGGCAGTCAAAATAATTTGATGCTATGTGTTATTTGCAAAGAGCAACTTTCAAATGAAAGTATGAAACCGTCAAAGTTGAAACGCCATTTAAACACACTCTATTCTGAGTACTCTGATAAGCCAATTAACTTTTTTACTGATAAGAAAAATGAATTGATTGCTCCTAAAAAAATGAAAAATACACTCTTACCTCACCAGTCAAATAAAAACTTCACTTTGACATCTTTTGAAATTTCAAATTAATAGCTTAAACTGGGTATCCTCATAGTGCTGGAGAAAAATTAATACTTCCCGCTTTGAAAATTGTCGCAAATAATTTATGGGGAAAAAGGAAAAATGTTTATTTTCGGTGATACCATTATCAAATAATACGGTTAAACGCAGAATTGATGATTGCCAGAAACATTTAGAAGAAGAATTAGTTGCTCAAGTAAAAAACAGCAAGTTTTTTCCCTTGCAGATATATGAAAGCACAGATATCGAGGTTAATGTAAATCTAATGTGTTTTATCAGATAAATAGTCACTAGTCATGGTATTGATTGGATGAAGTGTGTTGGGATAAGTAGCGAAAGAGCACGTGCAATGGCAGGCTGTCCTAAAAGTTTGTTTAAAAAAATTCAAGAATTAGCAATTAATTGTGTATGGGTGCATTGTGGTATCCATAAACAAGCAAGATGGTAAAACGGATGCTCTTTAAATTTAAACATGACTTTGGAAGAATGTGTCAAGTTTGTAAACTACATAAAGTCTCATCCATTAAATAGCAGACTTTTATATTTATTTATTTATTTTATTTATTTATTGAAACCCATTCAAACTACGATGAAGAAGATTTACATTTTGAAACACCATCAGTTTCAATTCAAGAACATCATTCGGAGCTAATAAATAGTTTTAAAGACTACTTTCCAGATATTCCTTCAAATAATATGTGGATTAAAGATCCTTTTTCTGTCGATATTGAAAGGGAAGAAATGCTTAATCTTAGTGAAAAAGAAGTTGATAATTTAATTGAAATTTCATGCAACACCGATCTTAAAAAAAGTGTCTGAAAATGTATCACTAATTAATTTTTGGTTGCGCTGTCAAAAGGAATATCCAAGTGTAAATGAAAAAGCGATAGAATTTTTAATGCCTTTTGTCACACTTATACGTGTGAAACTGCGTTCTCAGCCTTGGTGTACTTAAAAAATAAGTATCGAAACAGATTGGATGTTGAACCTAATTTGAGAATAAAATTAACATCATTAAGTCAAGTCCTAATTTGAAATTACTATGTGGTGAAAAACATCATCCTTCGCACTAAGGTCAAAATATGTAAAACAAAATTTACTTAAGTTTTAAATGAAGATAATGTATTGTCTTTAATTACTTGTGTTTTTGTTATATAATCATTTTGCAATTTTTCTGCATGAAATAAACAAACAAATAACTTGAATTTTGATTTTTATTAAAAAATAAAATTTGTTTTGTAAATAAATGTTTTTTATAAGGCGGGTCGCAAAAAAATTTGGGAAACGCTGCTATATATCATACTATATAACATAAAGCTATAAAAGAAATTCTAAATTAAATTAAAAATTAAATTGAGACACACAATTTAATTATTTAAACTTTAAATAATTAAATCAACATTATTAACACAGCTCTTTTAACTAAACATTATTTATACACTTTTCCAGCTTCTGTTTCTTCACAAATGAGGAAACTTTTAAAACAATAATTATTTGTTTTTCTAACTACAAATACTGAATAGCAAATTGATAATTTATATACAAAATAAGTACTACACCTTAACAGCTTTGGCATAAATATTTCTAATCTCCGATTTCCTAGCTCGAGCATTACACTGTGGGCAACGAGCATTTTGTCCTTTCAACCAACGTGTTATACAACTAAAATGGAATATGCTAATTAGATTGAGTACATCTGTGACATATAACAAAATAAAAATTTTACAAATTACAGTCTATGGTAAAGTATTTTTACAAATCAAGTTTTATTGGAGGTGTGAACTCAAATGAAACAATTTACATTATAAAGAAGATAATTAAATATTACCTGGCACCTACCAATACCAGACATGATGCTATTTTTATGTAAGTGTGGTAGAAACCCTAAAAACTGTGCTAGAATGAAGTGCATTATCTTTCTTTTGGTGGAAAAGGGGCTAAAGATGAGTGGAGCTGGCAACTTTTTCTTTTCCCCAACATGAACTTCAGCAAAATTTTATATCTGCATTGTATCATTTTAGTAAAAGTTATCAGGACAATGTTTATCGTCTTGTCTTAATTTTTGCTATATTTTGCATCGTGTTTCTACTAGATTTGCTAAGAAGTGAAGTAAGAAAATTTTGCATCATGTCTTCAGTAGATTTGCTAAGAAATGAAGAAACAATCTATTATTTCAAGGCATATAGTATTCTCATACAATAAAATTGTACCTGTAGGAAAATGTACAATGGAAATGTAATGTTTATAATTGGCAACAAACTGGAAGAATAAGAAATGGGGATTGCATTTGCCTTCTTATTTAGCAGGGTTCATATGAGGTATGTTAGGAAGACAAGTTACACAGAACAACCATCTATTTAATACTTTCGAGTAAATGTTCTAGTACTGAGGGGGAGGCCAAATTACTTGTCTGAAGTGATTTTAAATGAGACTACCAAATATCTACTGGGGAAAGAGACTTGTTTTATTGATTTGCTGATGTCAGAAATGTATTTCATTACCAAAATATGACAACAGATTGTTAACAATGTTTGGCAGTATTGTTAAACCAAATACCACACAGAATATTTCTTGAGAGCTAGACTATTTAATAACAAAACTAAAAACAGAAGTGCCAGTACGATAAATATACAGTACAAAGTCTTTAATCCAGACTCGTCGGGACTTCAGCGATTCCAGATTAGGGGTTTTTCTGGATTATAGATCATCAATTTAAATCTGGTTAGATGGCATGCAAAAATTATAAAATTAAAAATATGAAACCGTAATTTATGAAATAAAGAGCAATTAAAGGGTATCAAAATTTACCAAAAAAAAAGCTTAATATTTATTTGTTTACTTTATTAAACATTTCTTTCAATGTAAGTTGTTTAAGTTGCTTTGTTTTATGTGCTAATACTTTCCCTTTAATTCTATAAACAGACCTAATTTCTTGTTCAGTTACAAAGTTCCGCTGTTCAAGTCCTGCAACTGCTGTGCCGAGAATACCTACTAACTTGTCAATCGAAATTTTTTCGTTTTTACCAACCTCTCTGTCACTTTCTTCATGCCTTTATCCATTTCCCCCCCCCAGCAATTCCACTTTTTGTTTGATGGCCATCGAAACATGCTTTCGCTTTGTAGATCCTTTGGCAGCTCCAGAATCGGAAACTCTTTTTGACATAAACGAAAGTTTAAGCTTACTTTTTATAAAATTGCTCTAACAGTCTGCAAAAAATAATAAGCCGAATCCAATTAGAAGCTTAAGGAACAACGCAATCTGCAACATCAACTGAAATAGGTAATTAGATAATTTTAGCCTAGCTTATACTGTCTGTTATACATTAAACACACAAGCATAAATGTATTATGCACATGCGTAAACGCTACGCATGCGCAGAGAGTTTGTAGCTTTGAGATCTGGATTATAGATCATTCTGGATTATGGACATCCGTATTAAAGACTTTATTCAGTATAAGATAAACTTTTCTCAGCTATAACTTTTAACAATATTAAAGTGCCAAATTTAGTTTTAGTCTTCTACTGCTAAGTATGCTTCTAATAATTTTCAAGGGATGTTTAACAGGTAATAAATTCTTAAGCTGGAGTAAAAGATTCTAAAAAAGACATGCATGTCTAATTGTATCATCTGGCAGATATTAGCACGATTAAATCACACTGCCAACTTAGAGAAGTCTCAAACGATGATGCAGTGTTATAGAATGTTATTGTTAAAGCAGCCACTAAATAAGCTTTTGGTGACATTTGCAACTTGCACATAACAGACAGGGCAGTTAAATTTGTCTACTTTGATAACTAATGCATTGGCTGCTTTAACAGAGAAGTACTATTTTCCTCTTCAAAATTTACATCAGCTGATATAGGCTGTGATAGGTAAATTATAATTATTACTAATGCTCATTGCATTTGCTACACATAACATTAACTAACAGATTAGTTGATTGAAATATTAAAATGAATGAATTATTACGCAGAAAAACAGTGCAGAAATTTCACCTTAAGTATAAACATAAAATTGTTTTAAAACTGTAAAGCTTAAAATAAGCAATTGCTAATACTTTTAAATGTAAACTTTCAAGCTTCACATAAATTATTCTTAAGTAAAAAATTTATACAGTTTGTTACAAGAGAACAATAACACAAGATAATGTATTATCGCAAATGCACAAATGACAGAATTATATACACAGAAAAGGCAATATTGAGCTTAATACATTAAATACAACTTAATAAATTAATAGTTTTATTTCTTAGACTCATACAAAAAAAAATACTGAATATTAATGGAAACCTCTATAATAATACTCAAAAACCATAATAATAAAATAACATTTTAAGCTACTATATGAAATACAGATATATGTATTAAATACTACTAAATATTTCTTAAAAAGTCGTTAAGAAAAAAAGTAGGCTTGCTACAATTTGTTTCTTTAAATTCGATGCTTACCTTCGACCAAAAAGGTGACCACATCGTAGGGATACCAATCTGTGTTCACTAGAATTTGTCCACGGTTCAAAACAAATGGTACAAGTCTAAAATACATAAATAAAAAAAATGTGCCTATTAAAATAAAATTCACAATTTCCTCAAAATAATTCATACATGAAATTCAGTTGCATTTAAAAATCCTATGCATTTAATGAATGGCCATATTATTAACTTAAAATATTTAAATTACTTTCATAAAAGTCACAATTTATTGAATATAAAATAACATTTCTTTTCTAATATTAAACAAATGTACAAAAGCTATCTAATAATTTAAGTACCACAAGAAACTTAAAATTTTGGGGTCAGGGATAAGGACAAAAATATCAGACACTTAGATTTTTTCTTTAAAACTATTTTAAGATTTCCTTGTCATTTTTTTAACAAACTTAATAAAACTAACTAAAAATATATTTACGGGTGCCCCTTGGTGAAAATTGGCGATTTTGGGCAGTACATGGACACCGAGTTTGTGCAATTCCTCGACTTGTTATTCTGACTTTGTGTAACAGCTATTTTTACGTAAATTCGCCGCTACATAATGCCAAATTAACAAGTCAAAGAATTGCACATACTTGGTATCCAGGTACACATCGACCTAGTTTCACTTGAAAAAAAAAAAAAAAATCAGAGAATTGCATAGACATTGTGCACTCCCTTGACTTTGTCCATGTACACATCGATCTATTTTCACTTAATAGATCAAAGGAAAGGAAGTCAAAGGAGCAGCCAATTCCCCACTAGGGCCAAACAAAAATATACAATCTCAAAAAACTACATTTTAAATCAAACAATGAAATAATATAAAAAAGGAAATTCATCTTATAGCATCTATACACTACACAAAGGAAATACCTACCTTACCTATCACTATTTACATAATTCCTTGCCAGTGTGGTTTAATTTACATTGGTCCAAACTAAGACAGCCATGGAACACAAATCGAAGGCAGAACGCGTCGTTCTTAGCTTTCCGGCGACGGCAGTTAATTATCCCAAAGCTATCGAACAACTATGAGAGCGCTTTGGACGTGAAGATTTACTTGTGCAAATCTATGTGAGACTTGTTAAGTCTAATGATGAAGAGTGCTGTAACCGGAAGAGCAAAAACTGATCTACCCTCCCTTTATGTTGAACTAGAAGGAAAATTGCGAGTGTTGGAAAGTCTGGGGAGAACCCAAGAAAAATACTGTGATTTTTTTACCCCCTTAAAGTGGAAAGTTGCTTACCAGAAGAAGTACTGATGGCGTGGGAAAGAAGCCGAAATCACGACTCCATTGAAACTAAAGGGACTCGATCCTTGCAACATTTAATGAATTTCTTAAAACAGGAAGTCAAGGGCAAAGAGATGGTTCTACTCGCAAAAACTGGTTTCACCTCCCAACAGAATCATCGGAAGAAAGACTTTCACCACAAACAGGTAAAGCAAAATGAACCCGTAACAGCGTCAGCTCTAGTAAGTCTTGAGAATTCAGGTAAGAGTATTCCAAACTGTAATTTTTGTGAAAAGAAACATTCAAGTGAAAAATGTTACTTTGCAAAAAAAATAGCTTTAGCTGAAAAACAACAATTGTTATTGAAAAAAGGTGCTTGTTTCTCTTGTCTGAAAAGAGCAAGTCACATTAGTAAATTTTGTCCTTTGAAAAGTAAGTTACGTTGTTCTATTTGCAAAAGTTGTAATCATTTTGATGTAATGTGTAACAAAACGCTAAAAAATAATGATCAGATACATGTTTCAAAAGAGAGTTCTCTTTCTAACTGTGACAGAAACGAAACTGTATTTTTGCCAAAGTAGCTACGTTAGTGAAAGTATGACGAGTCAGCTTAAAGCATCTCCACTTAAGAAGGAGACAGTTATACATGCACTGTTTGGGAGGGGACAAAATGAAACCTAAACAACATGAAATCGAGGTTAGCAATTTTCAGTCGAGGTTAGCAATTTAAAGGAAATGTTCGCATGTAGTTTTGAAGCACTTTCTGAAAAAAGGATTTGCGGTTTTATTCCTACGGTTAAGGATAAAGAGATTTTGAATGTGTGTGTGTATGTGATTGTGGCAAAGCCTCGAGGGCTATCTGCCTAAAGGGAGGCATGTCTTCGTGGAGGACTTTCTAAGGGAAACTGGCTCATATACACGTTACACAGGGGGGAAACCACGAAAATGCCCATGCAGCCAGCCCGTTCGCGGGATTCGAACCTCGGACCAAACTACCAGTATTCAACGACTTTACCTCTCGGCCGCTGGTCGGCCAAGAGATTAATTCATTCAAAAAAGGAAATCGAATTTTCTGATCCATTGCGAAAGGAAACTTAAATTAACCTTTTAATCGAAGCAGATGTTACAGGAAAATACGGGAAATTCTATTGAATAACAATCGAGGGGTAACAACTGTCGAAACAAAACTTGGGTGGACGGTGTTTGGAAAACGAAATTCGGGTGAAAAAAATAATATTTTGAAAACATTTTCAATGCATGTCAGGAGAATTCCTCTGAATGAGTTATGGGAACTCGAAAAAATAGGAATATGCGCTCCAATCGAAACTGTTAAAATGAAAGAAAGTTTTAATTTATCTGAATTTGAGAACATGAAAATTCTTCCAGATGGAAGATATGAAATAGAACTTCCGCGTAAATGTGATATGACACATTTAACCGATAATAAAGAATTATCCTGGAAAAGGTATCAAAAGATGATCTATAAACTCAGATGTAGTAAATTTTTCGATGATTATCAAAATGTGTTCAAGGAATGGGAAAGGTTGAATATTATTGAACGCGTACCAGAAAACGAACTGAATAATGAATGTCATTATTTGCCGCATAGGCCTGTAATCAAATTAGGAAGTGAAACCACAAAAATTCGTCCTGTTTTTGACGCCTCTGCCTCTGAGAAAGGGAAACTCTCTTTGAACGAATGTTTGTGTAAAGGAATGAATCTTATTGAATTAATACCCGATATTATAGATCGTTTTAGGATGTATCCGATAGGTATTAGTGCCGATATTGAAAAGGCTTTCTTAATGTTATCCGTCGCATCTAAAGATAGAGATTTTCTCAGATTTTTGTTTTTTTTTTTTCCCCATGCAATGAAGGACAATTAATTTATAGGCATTGCAGAGTTGTGTTTGGAGTTTCTTCGAGCCCCTACTTGTTGAACGCATCTATAATGCATCTATTAGAAAACTGTCCACGTCAGTATAGTGAAGTTGCTAAAAAATTGAAATCGTCATTTTATGTGGATAATTGTTTACCTAGTGTTTTTAGTATTGATGAACAGTTTGCTTTTATTGAAGATTCCAAATAAATCATGTCAAATGGATGTTTTAACTTGTGCAGTTTTGAAAGCAATGTGGCTGGTACAAATAAATGTTGACAATCATTCAGGGGATACCTACGTTTTGGGGGTATAATGATACATTGAGGTGCTGCACAGATACATTGACCTGTGATACGAAAATCAAAAAGAGGTCAGTTTTGGCAATTGTGCAGACAATTTTTGATCCTGTTGGTTTATTAATGCCAACTACATTGCTTCAGAAACTGTTGCAAAAATTGTGGAAAGTGAAAATTGCATGGGATGATGAATCGTCTCCAAATGATGTAAATACATTTTTGAACTGGTTTAAAGAGCTTAATGTTTTGAAAGATGTTACTTTGCCTCAATACTTGTTTATTAATGACACGTCTGAAATACATGTATTTATGGATGCTTGCAAGGGAGCATATGCAACGTGCATCTTTGTTCGATCAGTATTTAATTCTGAGATAAAAATTAATCTCATATGGGCGAAGTCTAGAGTATCATCCTTGAAACCTTTAAGCATTCCTCGCTTAGAATTAATGGCCTGTTGTATAGGTTCTAGACTTGCAAATTCTATTATCAAGGCTCTCAGTTTGCCAGACTTAAAAGTTACCCTCTAGTCTGATTCCACCACTGCCCTTTGATGGATAACAGAGCATGGAAATTGGTCCGTTTTCGTCGAAAATAGGGTTAAAAAGATTCAAGAGTTGATGTGAGGTCATGAAAACTGGCCCACTGGTGAGATTATTTGTTTGTATGAAGAAGTAGAATTGGAGAGGGAAAAGATAAAAAATAGTGAATATTGATCTATCAGAAGACACACCCCCTTGGCATGTTAAAAAGATTGGGTAAAAAATAGGGTTAAAAAGATTCGAGAGTTGATACGAGGTCATGAAAATTGGCCCACTGGTGAGATTATTTGTTTGTATGAAGAAGTAGAATTGGAGAGGGAAAAGATAAAAAATAGTGAATATTGATCTATCAGAAGACGCACCCCCTTGGCATCAAATCAGTGTATCCAATTATGATAAAATGATTAGAATATTTGCATGGATATTTAGATTTGTAAATAATTGTAAAGATGGTTCTGAAAAGAATAGAAACATTGAAGTTTCACAGTATGAAATTGAAAATTTTAAGTCGTTTGGTTCAAAATTATTATCTGACTGATAAGAAATCTTATAATTTTATTGAAACGCTCATTGATGATGATGGTATTCTGAGAGTTAAAACGAGAATACTAAATAGAGATGACCATGAATCTTTTCTGTATCCAATACTGTTGCCAGAAAAATGTGATTTCACTAAGTTATTAATCAGAAATGTACATAATAAGAACTGTCATGCTGGTCTTCAGATGATGCAATGTATATTACGAGAAAGATTTTGGATAGTCAGAGCTAGAAAGGCCATTAAAAATGTCCTCTTTAACTGTATCGTTTGTAAAAGATTTAAAACTAAGGCTATGTCAAGCGAACCGACACCTCTGCCACCAGACCGAGTTACGGATTGTGCGCCGTTTGAAATCATAGGGATTGACTTGGCTGGACCCGATTGACTGAAAAATGGAGGAAAGGTGTGGATCGCGCTGTTCACGTTCAATGTGTACCATGCCATTCACCTTAAACTTCTCTTTCTACTGATGCTTATCTTCTGCCGTTTCGACGATTTGTTGCTAGGCGTGAATGCCCTAGAATAATCTATAGTGATATGGGGACAAATTTTCGGGTTGCATCAAATGATTT